TTTCAAATAGTTGTAAAATGCCTCAAGTTTCTCACTAGATAAATTCCAGTGTTGTTTCTATGAATTATAGTGTGTGAACAAAGAGATCAAGGGTACAGAACACTCCTGAAGTATGGCAATTTTCCTTGGGTCACCGGTCAGTAACATAATAGAACGAAACTTTCTATTGTTTTCGGTTTATCGGATATATTTCAGGCAAAAATTGCGATTGAGGTCAGTATAGTCGATTTCAGTAAACCTGATAATTAAATTCCACCCTTAGAATTTCCGCTGTAAACTCATTATGGAAATAAATTGATGGATGTAGCCGTTACTAAGTGGTAGGAAATCATAATGAAAAGAGAAATGAAACTTTCTATGTCCGTATAGGACGAAACTGCAGTAAAGTTAGTTACAAATAAAAGTGGTAAAAAACATAGAAAGTTTCATTTCTCTTTTCTTCATTATTAGGAAGACTGAAGACCAAGAAGATGAATAACGGTTGACCAACCAATTGTGGTTCCGGCGGAGATACTAACTCGTATGTTTGAGAACAAAAGAAGTGAATTTCTGTTTTTCTGTTCTTCCGTTAATCAGCTGTCGCCCCCATATGAACAACAACTCTCAGAAGTTGAGAAACTTGTGCGAGCTAAGGACTGACGAGGTCTTACCTTTTAATGTGTGATTCCTAACACTAGATAATTGAACTGCTGTTAATAACTTTCAGAAGCAGTGATAGTTTTACTTTATTTGCTCACTGTTAACAGTATATGTCGACCGCACACTGAATACTGAGTCATGCGAAAAGAGGCGAGAGAATCATTTGTCCGAAGTGCGGCTAGTGCTGTGTGTTAGAGTGAGGAGAAAGGGCAGCCAGACATACTGGCCTGTTATGCGTTACGTTACCAAGCGGTTTATCCTCCCTTAAGAAGTTGTCACTTCCAAAACAAACAATCGTTGATCATTACCAACAACAGTACATAATTCTGCTGAAATTGAAAATTTTATTGTTAGGAGAATCCATCATTCGAATGGGATGACAATTGGAAAAAGTTGAATAGCGAATCAAGTTATTAACTGGGATTATTTGAAACATTATGAAGATTTTCCTGGCAAGGATTCGTTTTCCAATTCTTGTAAGCGTATTTACTCCACAGACTGTCATTCAACATCTCCCCAACTCGCAACGAGAAAACAAATGAAAACTCTATTTCCCTCCGAAAACCGCCACTTCGCAAACCGCCTTTCCGAATACGAGCATTCCCAAAATAAAAAATCGAGCAGAAAAACCCAAATTTCTCGCTACAACAAGTTAACAAAACAAATGAATTCACTCGTCTATGCGATGAACGTCAAACAGTTCGCCCTTAAAATCGACCCTCTAAAACAAGATTAATTGCGATTGTGTGTTCCGGACGGGATGAAGGGGAGGGGTTGGCAGCTAACTCATCTGTCAATCAAGCATAGCCATCTTGGACGAGAGAACTAGCGGGTCTTGGTTATCTGTCCCGGAAGAGGTATTGGATGTCAGAGGCGCCAACAAACTTTTATTTCCAATCTAGGCTCATGAATAGAAATAAGAGGATGGTTTACTACGGAATGACCAAGGGTTCCGAGTTATTCAGGGGGATTCCGGGGTGGGGAAAACTATTATCAGGTCATTTCAAAATCTACCGCTTCAGCGATTGGTAGTCGCACTGACGATGAACGATTATCTTCATTTTTATTTCGCCATACGAATATTCGATCTATTCAGAGTCAGAGTGACGAAGTCTTGAGGTTCGTCAGGATGTGTCAAAGCTATTTTCGAGGTTTAACGGTAGGTTTGTACCTATACCTGAAGTTTCGTCTACTACTGCGGTCTACGTTACTGAAGGCGATGATGCCGCGGACGAAGTGTCCTGGTTTTCCTTGGAGCAAGAATTGCAAAATTGGTTTGGGTCTATAGTTTCCATTAGTGTTGCGTATGGCCTCATTTATTATTATCAATGAGTAGGATTGGAGTCTGTGGCGTAAAATTAAATCAAAAACTTTTTTCTTTCACACCAGAACAAACATATTATCACTCATTTCGGGCGTTTCGCTAATCAAGTTAGCATCATCGGGATATGACAAAAATTAGTTCTAGGTCAAAAGTAAAATGACTAAAACTGAGATTAGTTTTAGGTCATCTCCTGATGATGCTAACTTGATCAGCGAAACGCCCGAAACGATTGACAATATGTTTGTTCTGGTGTGAAAGAAGAAAGTTTTTGATTTAATTTTACGCTACAGACTCAAATCCTACGCGCGAAACGAGACACAGTATTTTTATTATAGTGTGGAAAAGGTGTTTTCAATATATGTCTGATGACCGTTTTGATGTAAATCGTCACGGGATCATAGATGGCTGTCTTAAAGTTTCTTTTCGAAATGTCTATAAAATTTTGAGAATGATATTATTCATAACTGGCAGTCATTCAGCGTACTCTGCTGAAACATCGAATTGAAGCCTGGGAATGCATGTAGCGTTAGAATATATTTATTACGGACGAAATATTTGCTTTATTGAATCGATGCCAGTCTGATTAATTTTTACTTCTGACGCAACGACAAAAATCAATGCTGTAATTTGGCGAAAGAACCGATGATTGATATTTATTATTCTGGCGGATACAGAGGTGTTTCTCATTTTCTCAATACAGGATACAATACATCGAAATATATTTTTCACGCAATGATAAAATAGGTTCTATAATTTGGCGAAAGAACTGGTGGTAGATATTTATTATTCTGGCGGAGGCAGAGGTGTTTCTCATTTTGTGAGATATTTCAATTTTTAGTATCCCAGAAAACTCAATTTCAATACAGGATATAATACATCGAAATATATTTTTTACGCAATGATAAAAATCGACAATATAATTTGGCGAAAGAACTGGTGATGAATATTTATTATTCTGGTGGAGGCAGAGGTGTTTCTCATTTTGTGAGATAGGCTATTTCAATTTTTATTATTCTAGAAAACTCAATTTCAATACTACAACACATAGAAATATATTTTTACGCAATGATCAAAATAGACACTATAATTTGGCGAAAGAACTGGGGGTAGATATTCATTATTCTGGCGGAGGCAGAGGTGTTTCTCATTATGTGATAGTCTATTTCAATTTTAGTATCCTAGAAAACTCAATTTCAATACTACAACACAGAAATATATTTTTACGTAATGATAAAAATTGACACTATAATTTGGCGAAAGAACTGGTGGTAGATATTCATTATTCTGGCGGAGGCAGAGGTGTTTCTCATTATGTGAGATAGTCTATTTCAGTTTTTAGTATCCCAGAAAACTCAATTTCAATACAGGATATAATACATCGAAATATATTTTTACGCAATGATAAAAATAGACACTATAATTTGGCGAAAGAACTGGTGGTTGATATTTATTATTCTGGCGGATGCAGAGGTGTTTCTCATTTTGTGAGATATTCTATTTCAGATTTTAGTATCCTAGAAAACTCAATTTCAATACAGGATACAATACATCGAAATATATTTTTTACGCAATGATACAAATTGGTACTATAATTTGGCGAAAGAACTGGCGGTTGATATTTATTATTCTGGCTTAGGCAGAGGTGTTTTTCACGCAACGATAAAAATCGATTCTATAATTTGGCGAAAGAACTGGTGGTAGATATTTATTATTCTGGCGGAGGCAGAGGTGTTTCTCATTTTGTGATAGTCTATTTCAATTTTAGTATCCTAGAAAACTCGATTTCAATACAGGATACAATACATCGAAATATATTTTTCACGCAATGATAAAAATCGGTACTATAATTTGGCGAAAGAACTGGTGGTAGATATTTATTATTCTGGCGGAGGCAGAGGTGTTTCTCATTATGTGATAGTCTATTTCAATTTTAGTATCCTAGAAAACTCAATTTCAATACTACAACACATAGAAATATATTTTTACGCAATGATAAAAATCGACACTATAATTTGGCGAAAGAACTGGTGGTAGATATTTATTATTCTGGCGGAGGCAGAGGTGTTTCTCATTATGTGATAGTCTATTTCAATTTTAGTATTCTAGAAAACTCAATTTCAATACAGGATATAATACATTGAAATATATTTTTACGCGATGATAAAAATCGACACTATAATTTGGCGAAAGAACTGGCGGTTGATATTTATTATTCTGGCGGAGGCAGAGGTGTTTCTCATTTCTTGGGATAGCCTATTTCAACCTTTGCTTTCTCAGAAACCTCTTTGTTTGAAGGTAATTGTGGATATCAACAATCGAAACATCGTAAGTAACTTGGCTTGGAATCTCTTGACTTTTTATTTCTATTTTTTTGTTCAATTGTTCAATTTTTACTATTTCACTATTATTTCATTTCAGGTTTTTTGCCTAATATAATTTCATTTTCAGCTATTCATTTTTAATTCTCCCCTTTTAGTTCTTTCAGGGATTTCAAATCATTTTATATAATATCAAACAATGGAAGTGCGAACTAATGAAATTCATCAGAAAGCTCTATTTTAACATAAGAAACAAACATTATGATCATTATGTCTTCTTTCAAAATAAGGGGTTTCAAGTGGAAAAAATTATTAGTATTAATTATTGAATACATAGAATCTAAATATACGTGATCAAATATAAAACAATTCAGTTCATCATCGAACAATGATGATTAAAAATACAATGAACAATCTTCTTCCGCGTCGATGCATACAAAAAAATGGGGCTGTGAAGATTTACATTTCCAAAAAAAATATTTTTCTCACCGATAACCCATTTACAGGAAATAAACAAATCGTGAAAGAAACAGAAGGATGTCGAAGGATAACTTTCGTTTAATTTCTACATTTTTTTAATTAGACAAAATTTATTTTCTTCCTCCTATATTTATATATTATCTCTATTGTCATGTAGTTCAAAGAGCTTAATTTAGTCAATTCAGTCAATTTCTCTTCTCATGATCGGTTTCTGAAATCCGTTCTGTGATGAAATTGAATCACTTATTTGCTGTTTTCTTTTGAGAATCTTGCATTGTTCTCAACCTTGGGGAGTAAAATGATTTCCTGAAAAATCTTTTAAATTCAAGAGTGAAAGTCTTCGAATCCATTAACAAGAAGCCAATCACAAACGTTGCTGAACAAGAGCGTCGACATTCGTGAATTTCAAAATTAATTAGGAACGTACACAAATTTCCGTAATTCAAGATTAGCAATAATGATTTCAGCATAAATTTATAAAATTTACTCTGGTTGCGTGGCAATTATTGAAGTAGGCTGCGACTGCTTTCGAGTAACTCAGGAGGCCAGAGTAATTAAATATCGTTTAATTTGGATCAATTTATGTACCCCCCGAACGGAAACGTATTTATGCACCTGCCTTCCGGGCAACCAGTGGCGTAACAAATGATCATTTGATCAGCAAAGGATTCAACTCTTTCCACTGGAAATAGATGAACAAATTTGGCAGAGCAGTGAATAACAACAAGTGAAATTAGCAAGGATGTTCTCCAAATACGAAGAAAAAAGTTTGTACACGAAAACAGTTGAGAACTGAATATAAAAATGAAAAATGGAGGAAATTAATAGATGGGTAGAAAAAATATTTTGGCAATTGTGGGAGGCAAAAAAACGAAAAGGATTGAAGAAGAATGAAAAATAAATTGGAAGGGGATGAAAGAATCATATGTTACATGAGGAAAACTTCAACTCTAGGAAGAATTGAACAAAGGAAAGTCAGCAGAATAAATAACCTACATCAGTAGATATGGATGTGAAAGAAAAAGTCCATTTGAATGATCATTAGTCAGTTAATGTCAATGTAAAAAATTATAAACTAATAAATAGCAAGAAAAAAACACAATAAAGGAGTATATTATCCTGAAAATCTTGGTGAGGGATTGATATGAGTTGAATAAACTAAATTTGAAAGGGTTATATTTTTAGGAGTGATTTTTTTCTTAAATACACATCCTGTCTGGAAGTGTTTTATATTGAATGAAATACCTTTTTTTATTCATTTTATCCCAGCTATTTGTCTGTCTTACTTCAAGTTTTGGTACTTCAACCAAAACAAAAAAGTCAATTATTTGTTTTAGGTACTTTCCAAAATATATTTTTTCCCTGACAAAACTCCTGATACGCAAGGATCTTTTGAGAAATCGAATAATTTCATCAGATACCCGAAAGGGAATATACCTTCTACTACGCTCCTGAATAAAAGCCACCGGTAAACGACTCCTTCTTGGTAAATTATTTCTATGGGTCTCAATACGTGTCACGTTTCTCATCGAAACATACACAATAATAGTATTTACTTTATGTATATGTCGTTTCTGAAATAAATTCGGGTGACATAGTGAGCTCATTTGAGTAAGTGGAACACATTAGGCCTTAACCTCACTTCCGTTCCCACTTAATTTATGAAACTGGGCAGATTAAGAGTATGTTTTAACAGAAGTTCAAGGGTGTTGAAACGTATATGGACAAGTCCTTTGTCTTCCAGTTTTTTAAGGTTATAATATAGATATTTATACAGACTCTCAAGCCCTGCAAGAATATATCATTCAATACGCTATTTTGTTTTCCAAATATTAGCATCAAAAAGTTGAACAATTGAATCCCATTAATACATTTTCATCCTACATGACTAACCAGATGAAATGCTTTTGCGAGAGAAAACCCACCGACATTTTTATAACTTCTCTGCTGACTCACCTCACTAATTGAACGTCAGATTTTCCATCAGATTTTCTCGAGTCTCTTAGGAACTCAACGTTCGTGATACAATTATAGGGCGTTAAAAGATTTAGAGGTAATACTTCCATCGAACAGACTGAAATCCATCCTGGATATAGCAATAATAAATCAAACATCTTCCTAACTTGTTTTCGATTCTTTCCCGAATATTGCCTGGAGGTTAGAGGTTTGGACGCCATTTCGATGTGGGAGAAATAATTTTCGCAGAAATAACAAGCCTAAAATAGTAATACACTGATGTTTGTGCATTATGTTTGGTAATTGATAAATCAGGAGCTGTGAAACAAATTTAGGAGTCCCTCATCCAAAAGTTTGGGGTTCTGGAAACTATCATTATTGATTTTGATTGTGATGAAATAGAATCTATAGCAGACCATGGTAAAACATTACATTGAACCTTATACATAACCTTAATTTTTCTGTACAGAATGAACAATCAATTATGATGTCTCCTGGTGGATACTTACTTGTTTCGCTATAAAATAGCTTCTTCAGGCATCTACAAACTGACTAAAGTCTTCCAAATTGTGCTTTATATAATAACAGTTTGAATACCAACAAAAATACCAACTCATTGAAATTATGTTATGAGCTAATTCCAATTTCCACATCAGAAAACAAATTTAAGAGAGGAGAAGATCACGGTTCTATTTGGTCATCGAGTTCTCAAATCTATTAATTGTCAAGCATTCTAAGAAATCGAGTTCCAAACATTTCTCTTCGAACGTGATACTTCATAGTCGCGGTTAAACTAATGTCAAAAGACAGTTTGTGAATGTGAAATTGGTTTTCACGTTCGAAAAACTACTCCTATGGTTTTTCAATCTTTGGGAAAACGTTCTCCCAGTTTGACCAATGTAACTACACGTAAACATATACACTCCTTATCAATCTGACAGTGAAGTTTGGTGTTCATTGTTTTTGATAAATTTGCCTAAATTATTATCTGTTTGGTAAGAGCAAAAACGAATAATGTTAATTGGTGTATTCACCAAAATATGTCAATGTGAGGAACAGATCTGGTAAATAACTTGTTTTCGTTGTTTTTTGAAAATAATGGAGTCGCTAATATCTACCTTGTAACTGTTGTTGACAACGATTGGTTTGATAAAACTCGTTTCTCTTTAAAAATTACTTTATGACACTGGAAGATTCAATAGTATATGAAGCATACTATTGATGCTGCTACTTTAAGTTGACAGGAATGCTAGGAATTATGTATGACAATGTCCGTATGAGATGGTAAGATGGAAAATTTCAAGTCACTTTTATCATTGATTTTAGTAATAGTCAAGTCGAGAAAATGTATGCTATGACCTTCTTTGGAACCGTTTCTCCTTTTTGAGTCTACTGTTCTGATTGTTCTTTTGTCTCGGGTGTAAAGTGATAGACGACGCAAGAACGACGCAAGAATTCTAATTTTCTGCTGTGAAACTTCGCTTAACACTCAGATGAAACATCTTCAGGACACTATTTTTGCTCGAGTGTGAGCAAACGCGGCACTCATCTTCCGCACAGCTTTCCCATGTCCATAATTTCAGATAATAAACAATGAAAATGCCTAATCAGTCTGCTAACCGGCTCCATTAAACGAGAAAAATTTTTTGTTGGCCCTGTGTTTTATTTTCCGTACAAACGAATACCAAATTTCAACAGCTTTCCGTACTTTTCCGAAATTTCCCTTTTGGAGTCTGATTCCCTTTTGGTCTTTTTGGGCGGCGTTTCGGTGGATACGAGATTTGCAGATATCCTGTTGTGCTCGATGATCTCATCGATGTTGAATTGGGGTTTGAAGTTGTGGTTTTTTCCCAGTCCGAGGCTTTCCAGCTGTTTTTCCACGAGGTCCTCCTTCCGTTCGTGCTCGCTTTTCCTTGTGGTGTGATTGTCGGAATTCTGTTCAGATCTGAGTTGCATAGAGACTAAGTATATTACTTTGGGTAGCGAAATTAATAGTTTTTATCAGATAATAAAAATATTTTAAGCATGAAACAAAGAAATTTACAATGAGCTTCCGAATTAGTTGACGATAATACAGTGTGACCCATTTTTAATTGAAACACCCCCCTAAAATTTGAAGTTGTAAACCGATTTTAATA